AATACTGAAAAATCTGAATGTTGAAATCACAAGCTGTAGTTCTCCTGGGAGAGAAAAAAAAATCACCTGATAGAATTAAGAAATCTAAATTCAGTTTGAGTTCAGTGGAAGAAATTTTCATTATTTGGCTGCATTGATATTCTTTCCTGTTAATGAACTCTGGATTTTAATAACTCATAGAAACATTGATCAGAAGAAGCACCAGTTTGAAAATAGTTATTTTCATGAGATTAAAAAACACTTAAACTGAGAGCCAGGGAGTTTTGACTTTAGTTAGTGGTTCCTCCAGTGTGCCTGTAAGTGGATGTGGTTTGCGTGGGGGGGAGGTAGGGGGGCGCATGCGCGTGTGTACATGTACGCATGTGCTCGTGAGCAAGCACATGTAAACATGCCTGTATGCATGTGCCTATATGTGTTACACGTGTGTGGGGGGGGGCGCGGGTTGCGGTGGGTGAGCACGCATGTATTACATGCATGCCTGTGTGTGTGGGTGCGTGTGTGCATGTGTGTGTGAGTGCATGTGTGTATGTGTGTTGGACAGTTATGTGTGTTATCTGCCACAGAAAACACTCGTACATTAAAAAGGAAACAAAAGATTTAAAGATGGCTAGCAGTCTGTAAGGCTCAGAAGCGTGGGTGTAGTGGGCCTACAAGTAGCCAGCTGCACAAGAGTGACCGTTTCACCTGCCTGTCTAGAAACCAGACCATCAGGACCCCTTGCATGGAGCAAGAGGAGGCAAGGAGGGATGCCATATTCAGATCAGTCAGGAAAAGCAACAGGCAGCTACAATCCTTATACGTCACTGTAGCCCTAGCTCACCAAGACCCCGAAGTTTCTGGAAAACGCCTACCAAGGCTTTTGCACACGTTCCTGCAACTCTCCTCAGTACGACTCCGAAATTTCTGGGAAACGCCTAAAAAATTTTTCTTCATATGCATCTGCAGCAGCGGCCCTGCTAAGACCCCGAAGTTTCTGAAAACACTCTACACGGCTTCTTCAGCTCCAGCACAGGAACCTTTCTCTAGACGGTATGTAACAGTCCCAAGTGGACAAAGGGCTGAGGGTGGTCCAAAGTACTTTCAGTGAGGTACTTTGTCTTGATGTCACCCAAAATGTTTCCCTACAACCCACCCCTAAGTTCAGGAGTGGGCAAGAGAAGTAGAAGTCCAGAGTTAAGTAAAAGAGAGCTTATCCTGTGATGAACATCCGCCATCCCCATGGTTTTTTATACGAATTTCCTTGGTCTTGGGGTCCTGGGTTTTTGCTTGTGCATACAGGGCATGTGCCAACGGCTTCAATTTTCGCCACAGTGTTTGGTCAAAGTTCTTAAGAAGTGAGGCATTGTGTGACAAGTGCCAGATACAGGCTGCGCTCAGCCCACCGTAAATGCTGGGCTCAGCCATGATGGTTTATATCCCTTTGCTGAGTCTTTTCTCTGGTTCATTGCTAATTGTGTAAGAGAAGTTAGGGATTCTCGGAATCGGAACTGTGCTGGGTGTTGGTTTTAGCAGCTGATTTCTGTAAGACCTTCGGCCCTCCCACCCTCTTGCTGGTCTCCCGTGCTAAGCGTGTCCTGTTCTTATCTGTAAATGTTTCACCAGTAAACCTTAGTCAGACAGAAAAAGCTTGATTCCGAAGTGAGCACTTTCAGCTTGGGAAATCGGTGCATTAATCTGTGAATCATGTTTTTGTTTGTTGTTTTATTTGTTTTTTTCACATGAGAACTTTAAAAACAAAATACCCTTTGTGCTAAATCGATCAAACAAAAATATGACCATGAGAATTTAAGGAAAATGCAAGAAAAAAATAATAGAAAATCAAATGGGTAATACAGGCATAAGTAGCCCACATAGTTCCATAAACCTGGCTAATTTGTGATGAGATTGACTGGCTTTGTACACCTCCCTGCTGGATGGATGAGCATTTTCACCTTAGAGCGTGGCTCTGCTGAGCTGATTAATTCACACTGTTTTTATTTTTTATTTTTTTTACATCGTTCTGCTCTTTAAAAAATTCTGACAGAGCAGAGACTGTAGATTCTTTTGTAAGGTGCTTGCCTAATATTCCAGAACCCCTGGGTTTCATATCATACCATGTCATCCCTGGGGTCCCTCTCACCTGCAGTCCCAGCACTTGGGAGGTGGATACCCAAGCATCAGAAGTTCAAGGCCATCTTTAACTGCATATCAAGTTCACAGAAAACCTGGGATATAATATAAGAACTGTCACTGAAAGACTCCTGTCCTCAAGGGTTAGAAGTCGATGTACACAAATATTACCATTTTTTTAATTCCCATCTCACTAGATGATTTTGTGTTGCTTCCAGTAGGTGAAAAGCAATTCTAAGCACTAATATAAACAAAATGTCAGTTATCAGGAATGAAATAGTTATACTCAATGGCGTATGGTGCTGTTTCCCCCATTAATTAATTTATTCATTTTACATCGTGATCCATGCTTCCCACTTTCTGACCCCCCCCCCTCACACAGGCCATACTCCCTCCTGCATCTCTTCTCTGAGAGTGTAGGTTCTTCCCTGGGCATGTGGTTTTTATTCTCCTGAAAACAACTATTTTCATACAGATGCTTCTTCTGATCAAGGTTGCTTTAACTTACCAAACTCCAGAATTCATCAGCAGGAAATAATCAGTTCAGCCAAATGATGAATTTTACATTGAATTCAAACATTGGCATAGCTTGTGGCTAACTGATTTCTCAGAATTTGGCTTTCTAACCCAAACAGGGAACATTTTTTTCTTCTCTCATGAAAACTGCAGCTTGTGGTTTCAACATTCAGATTTTTCAGTATTGTAGTCTAAGGGACTTCAGAATTTTTCATCCCTTAGCTGCTGTTTTTCTTTGGGGTGATTGATATTTAGAATTTTGACTTTGTCCAGAGGTTTATCATTCTTTGAAGTAAGTATTAAGGGTTAATCCCTCAACTCTGGAATTTCATGGCATACAATTCAACCTGTTAGAATGTAGGAGACAGCCAGTAGTGATGGCATACCCCTTTAATCCCAGCATACAGGAGACAGAAGCAGGCAGATCTCTGTGAGTTCTAGAACACCAATACATAGGGCGTTCCAGGACAGCCAGCACTAGAGGGTCACTTTTTAAGAAAACCAAAGCCAAAATCAAAATCTAAAAGAAAATAATTCTTGTGAGAGAACCCCAGCACTGGGGAAGTAAAAGCCATAAAATTGGAGTACAAAGTCATTTTCAACTGCTTAGTGTGTTTATGATCATATTAGGCTACAAGACACCCTTTTGCACACACCGGAATAAACAAACAGAAAAGGAAAGAACAAATAGTCATTTTTGGGCCACACATATTAATTCCACCCAGACTACAGTAGTCACATCATGTCTGCCAACCATCATATGTTTCCAACAAATAAAATACAAATCCCTGTCTGCTTACAGAGGTGAGCCCTGTTCAGCCTCTGCCTTTTCTTTGTTGTGATTCAGAGACATTCAGAAGGGTGTCTAGCCCTTTGTCTCATTCCACTTCCAAAGGTTTGACCTTGTTCACTGAAGCATCTGGGATCCAAAACTCTCTGGAAATGACAAAAAAAAAAATGTAACAATTTTGGAGTGAGCCATATGTGAGAGCACAGGATCAGAAGGATGGGAGATAAATGCCAATCTTGATATTTCCTTCCAGTGGGATAGTGTCTCCTTTGACCAGTGACATACTATGCTTGCTTAGGATGTGTTCTCCTCACAGGGAAGCATCAAACGTTGCATTAGAGATACAGAATTAA